AGCACATCCCGCAGCCCCCATTGGCCTGGGACAGCAAACCGCGGCCAGTGGGAGCCGCGATCGGCCGAACCTGTGGACGCCGGCAGGTAAACAAACCGGCCCGGCCTGCCAGGATGCTTACCCTGGCGGGCGGCGGGCCAAAGGTTGCCGATCCCTGATCTAAATCATTGATGAAGATATTGAACAGAACCGGACCCAGAACTGATCACTGCAGGACCCCACTCGTTATGCCCTTCCAGCATGACTGTGAACCACTGATAACTACTCTCTGGGAATGATTTTCCAACCAGTTATGCACCCACCTTATGGTAGCTCCATCTAGGTTGTATTTCCCTAGTTTGTTTATGAGAAGGTCATGCGAAACAGTATCAAAAGCCTTACTAAAGTCAAGATATTCCACATCTACCGCTTTCCCCCTTCCACAAGACTTGTTACCCTGTCAAAGAAAGCTCTCAGGTTGGTTTGACACATTTTGTTCTTGACAAATCCATGCTGACTGTTATTTATCACCTTATTATCTTCTAGATATTTGCAAATTGATTGCTTAATTATTTGCTCCATTATCTTTCCGGATGCAGAAGTTAAGCTGACTGGTCTGTAATTCCCAGGTTGTCCTTATTTCCCTTTTTATAGATGGGCACTATATTTGCCCTTTTCCAGTCTTCTGGAATGTCTCCAGTCTTCCATGACTTTTCAAAGATAATTGCTAATGGCTCAGATATCGCCTCAGTCAGCTCCTTCAGCTCCTTGAGTATTCCAGGATGCATTTCATCAGGCCCTGGTGATTTGAAGACATCTAACTTGTCTAAGTAATTTTTGACTTGTTCTTTCCCTATTTTAGACTCTGATTCTACCTCATTTTCACTTGTATTCACTATGTTAGACGTCCAATCGCCACCAACCTTCTTGGTGAAAACCGAAACAAAGAAGTCATTAAGCACCTTTGCCATTTCCACATTTTCTATTATTGTCTTTCCCCCCATTGAGTAACGGGCCTACTCTGTCCTTGGTCTTCCTCTTGCTTCTAATGTATTTGTAGAATGTTTTCTTGTTACCCTTTATGTCCCTAGCTAGTTTGATCTCATTTTGTGCCTTGGCCTTTCTAATTTTGTTCCTACATACTTGTGGTGTTTGTTTATATTCATCCTTTGTAATTTGACCGAGTTTCCACTTTTTGTAGGACTCTTTTTTGAGTTTTAGATCATTGAAGATCTCCTGGTTAAGCCAGGGTGGTCTCTTGCCATATTTCCTATCTTGCCTGTGCAGTGGGATAGTGTGCTCTTGTGCCCTTAATAATGTCTCTTTGAAAAACTGCCAACTGTCTTCAATTGTTTTTCCCCCTTCCACTTGCTTCCCATGGGATTTTACTTACCAAGTCCCGGAGTTTGCTAAAGTCTGCCTTCTTGAAATCCATTGTCTTTATTGTGCTGTTCTCCCTCCTACCATTCCTTAGAATCATGAACTCTATGATTTCATGATCACTTTCACCCAAGTTGCTTTCCACTTTCAAATTCTCAACCTGTTCCTCCCTATTTGTCAAAATCAAATCTAGAACAGCCTCCCCCCAGTAGCTTTCTCAACTTTCTGAAATAAAAAATTGTCTCCGATACATTCCAAGAATGTGTTGGATAATCTGTGCCCTGCTGTGTTATTTTTCCAACAGATATCTGGGTAGTTGAAGTCCCCCATCACCACCAAGTCCTGTGCTTTGGATGATTTTGTTAGTTGTTTAAAAAAAGCCTCATCCACCTCTTCTTCCTGGTTAGGTGGTCTGTAGTAGACCCCCTACCATGACATCACCCTTGTTTTTTACCCCTTTTATCCTTACCCAGAGACTTTCAACAAGTCTGTCTCTTATTTCTATTATGTAGGATCCCAGGATCTTAAAGGAGCCACAATTGGAGCTATCCTCTTCCTTTCTCCTTCCTACTGGACCTGGCCTTTCTAATATCAGAGGCCTTTGTGGCAGCCATAGCATGACCAGATAATCCCTCCCCTGCTCCTGCCAAGCTTTAGGTTCAGAAAGTGCTTACACTTAAAACCTCTTTGGGTCCACCTGTTAAATTTATGTTGTTCCCAGTCCCTGTGTCTCTTCTTATGATATCTTATATATTATGGGTGTATCATCAGTAGCGTAGCTAGCGGGGTTCAGAGGAAGCGGCCGCTTCCCCTGACCCCACATTCCCCAAAAGTGGTGCTTTGGCCGGCCGGCGGAACAGGGCCGCGGGCTGGCCGGTTCCTGGCGCTCCGGCCGGCCGGCGGAACAGGGCCGCGGGCTGGCCGGTTCCTGGCGCTCCGGCCGGCCGGCAGAACAGGGCCGCGGGCTGGCCGGTTCCTGGCGCTCCGGCTGGCCGGCAGAACGGGGCCGCGGGCTGGCCGGCTCCCGGCGCTCCGGCCGGCCGGCGGAACGGGGCTGCGGGCTGGCCCGGACAGCGCTCTGGATGGGGAAGCGGGGTGGCCCTGCGCATGCACCGCTCCATATTTCGGCGGCATTTCGGCGCATGCGCAGGGCCGCCGAAATGCCACCGAAGGACTAGCGCCTTTTTTTGCCGCCACTCCTCCTCGGCTGCAACCCTGGCTACGTCCCTGTGTGTCATGTAAAAACTCACTTCAGATATATTTATAGGCTAATGGCCTGGGCCTCTACTACTACTCTGCATTTGTCCCCATTTGCCAAATGCCACATGGACCTGACTTCCCTGAGGACTCCCTTCAAGAGACAGTTCCTTATCAGTTGAAGCATTTTGCTCTTGAAGGACTTTCCTATCTTATGATGAAACATCACTGAATTGCATCCCTCCAAAGAGCTAGAGGTGCTTTTCATACATGTTGAGTTATAATTTAGTGCTGCTATCCCACTGCATCCTGCTGTCAGAAGTTAATTGATGATACCAATTTTCATTTCAGCCTCTTAGTTGATTCCTCCAAGATTAGCAAGGTGCTGTTCGAGAAAGCAAGAAGTGAGCTGCCTTTCACAAAGTTGATTCTGCTGTGGCTACTTTTGCTGGAAAACCCCCTCTCCCAATAGAGGACAGTGCCGGTCCTTGAGTCCCTCAACACAAAGTTATCACTCTCTTATAAAAGAAGTCCCATTCATTTTCCTGTTCTTGCCTAACAGTGTATTTATCAGCTATATGCTAGGAAATAATTACAAGTTATTGACAGGATTAGGAGGTCCCTCTGGGCACTACAGTAATACCAATATTAATGACTGGCCTGGTAAACTTTCACAGCAGCTTTGAGAGGTGATTAATGGCCTTTTTTCCCCACAATGGACAGGGAAGGGTCAGTCATCTAAATTTTTATTTACATTGCAGTAAATAAGGTAAAAGGCAAAAGTGACCAATGACTAACACATTTTTCAGCTCTAGTGTCACTGATCACTAGTGTTTATGTAAGTAAGAGACCATCTACCTAAAGACTGACCTTGTCCTAAGCAAAACTGTTCATTCAACGTTTTTGTTTTGTTTTGAATTAATGAAGAAGATTCTTGTTGCCCAGAGGGACCAATACTCATTCATCCTTGAGCCCACTTCCTGAATTTCTAAGTGTATAAGCATATTAAACTAATCTTTTGCAGAAAGTATGGCCAGAAGGACATGTTAGATTTCAATAGAGGAGGTTTTTATTCAATGCTGTTTTTAAAGAGTCCCACAGTACAATAGATTCCTGTACTTGAGCATGAAACAGCCAAAGGGAAGGATTCTGGCAGAAACCAAGCTGAGAGACAGCAATTTCCAACAGGAGCTTTATATTATTTGTAGTCCCATAGTAAATTAAACTGATTTTTAAAGATAAAGGTACAGTAGTGTTTCTCTATGGTACAAGTGTAACCTGCAAATCTTATTCAGTTCCATTCTGGTTCCTGCATCACCACAGAAATGTGTGCAGCACAGAGCTGGTTGATTGCGTTGGTGAGGAAGCTGCTTGCAAAATTCGGAGGGAAGGGGAAGCACTAACTCCAAATATTCTGCTCATGATACCCAAGACACAGGTTAAAGGAGTAAACTTGTTACAACAAAACTTCTGTAACTCCACGTTCTTTATCTATGTAACAAGTTTCCATCAAATGAATGGGTCCCTAATTCTGTTTGCTTTATAGTTAAAGGATCCACACTTGGTTCTGTCATTACCTAATTTGAAGATATCTATAATTTTTTTGCAGATGAGTTTGTAGCTGGACTGTGTCTAATCTTATCGTGCTTGCTTTCTTCTGACGCAAAAATCTATTTGTGTGGGACAGTGCTATGGTAGTACTAGACAGAATGAAATTAAATTCACCATGTAGTTTAAGAGGATTATAAGATGTTGGAAAGCCATAATATCTCTTCAGTATTTGCAGGAGGTCCTAGCTCATTGCCTGTTGGATTTTCAGTGGAGTGCTTTGGATACAAATGTCTCAGTGTACTATTTAAAACTAAAACAAAAACAAAAAAGTAGACTGCCTGGATTTTTGTCCACATTCTATAGTTTCTGTGGAGTCCAGCTGTTCTGCTGTAGGTCTTGGCAATCAAGATGGTATTTTATAACCCACTTTATTGACTGGTGCAGTTTGCAAATGTTGCAGACTTGCTGCTATTTTGAAGATTTCTCAAATTTAAGAAACATAGGCTTTCAGAATAATTTATAGTGTAATAAATCACCAAAATGCATCAGAAAATGAAAATAAGTTGACTGTGTCAAGAGATGTACACTGCGAACTTTTGAATTCATATCCCTGTTCTGACCCTGGGATGTGAACTCTCTCTAGTTTTGGACAAGTCACTTAATCTCTCTCTGTCTGTTCCTTTATTTGTGAAGTGGGGTTATTATTTATCTATGTTATAGAGGTACTAAGGATTGATTGATCATTCCACACGTTGATTTTTTGGAGAGGAAAAGCAGGATGTAGCTGCAAAATGTTTTATTCTTATTAAATACTGTAGTACTCTGTTCAGAGAAATACCCAGAGAATGTGTTGCATGTACATCTTTTTTTAAAAAAGATATTTTAATTAACAGATTGAGTATGAAAAAAAGAAAAAAGAAGATGGAAAACGAGCTCGGGCTGATAAGCAGCAAGTGTTGGACATGCTTTTTTCTGCCTTTGAAAAACACCAGTATTACAACATTAAGGACTTGGTGGACATAACCAAACAACCTGTGGTATGTAGGTGTTTATAACAGCCTTCGTAACCTATTTTTCAGTAATGACCACTACAAAATATATTGCTATATTAGGAATGTGCATTTTATACTTACAATACATAGTCTTAAAAATATACCTTTTAAATGTATTTATTGTGTGTTTATAGTAAAGAGAGGTAAGTTGGCACAAAATTTTAAGATACATTTATTCAGAACTAAAGAGATACGAAATATTGTAGAGACTAAATCCTCCCTTGGCAAAGAGATGGGTAAAATAATAGATCTCTTCTATGTTTGGCTTCTGTGTTTTAATGCTAGAAATCAGAATATGTATCTATGTAAATAGGTAGAAAAAAGTCATGTATCGTAATTTCAGGCCCCAAATACATTTAATATTAAATATTCTCATTATTGCCAACATTTAAACTTTTAAAATTCCACTTTTGGGGGGAGATGGGGAAGTTCTGGCTTTTTTCCTACCTCATTTGTGTGTGTGACTGTTTAGGATGAAAATAAAACATGAAAAGAAACACACAAAGACATACTCAAAAATGGGCCTTGGGGGAGTAGCCCTGTCCCTTCTTTCCCTTGATGAAATGACATTCCACGACCTCACTCTGTTCTATATCCCCCAACAGACTCCAGCCCTTGGATTTATTTTCTGCTTCCCTTTCCCATCCTGGCAGATCCCAACTGCGCCTTCTGGCAAGTGCCAGCAGCCCTCTGCAAGGGAGAGGCTGCCTTTTATGCCCTGCTAGTTCTGGCAGGGGAAGTGGAAAAGCAGTTGCACCCACAGGATTTTGCCTCTTTCTCCAGTTCCCTGGGATTTCTGTCTTTATGGATACCCTTAGCAAAGCATCGTGAAGTGCAGAGCTGCTGTTCAGCCTGTCTTAACTCCCTGGTTCTCTCCCTTGTGCACCCCCCAGCCCTGCCCCAGAACTGTAAGTAGCCTGCTGAACACAATAGCAATCCCTGGAGACCAGTAGTAGGAACTGCAGCAGCTCTAGCTATGTTCCTGAGCTCCTTCCAGCACTCCGTGTTATATACACAACAGAAATAGTGGCCCAAATTATAACATAAAACTTTTAGATCCCTATATTCCTTATTATAATACAGTGAATACACGTCAGTTTTGCTCACTCAATAAGTATCAAATGTGGAGATATGTGAGCAAATAGTTATTTAAAAAATGTAACCAGTTAAATGTTAATATCAGGGTTGGAAGGGACCTCAGGAGATCATCTAGTCCAACCCCCTGCTCAAAGTAGGACCAATCCCCAGACACATTTTTGCCCTAGATCCCTAAATGGCCCCCTCAAGGATTGAACTCACAACCCTGGGTTTAGCAGGCCAATGCTCAAACCACTGAGCTATTCCTCCCCCCATGATGGAATGACCTCCTTGAGCAGAGCCACAAAGCCATGATTCTCTTATTCAGGTACATGAAGGCTCACTTATTCTGCAACACAAAGAAGAAACAAGCTGATTAATTCATCCATTTCTCTTTCATTTATTTATTGTACGAGTAAACTCTTCATCTGTTGGGAGGGGGAGGGTGTAGGGACACAACCTGAGAGTTGGTGTTGGAGGAAGATGAGGGCTGAGTTGTGTGGAGGGAATGGGGAAGGGAATCGTGTGTTCTCAATTTAAAAAAAAAAAGATTAAAATGTACCAGTAATGTGTGACCTATCATCATCCTGATTGCTTTGCTTATATGTTGTACCCCTTAGTCACACCTTTTGTCCTCATCTTTTCAGGCTGTTCTTACTGGAAGCAGGGACTTTGTCATCTTCTATATTTGAAAAGCACATAGCACAATCTGGGCTCTACACCAATTTAAATAATATCTGTCACTTTTGTTTTATTCCCATGAAAGAAATTATATTCTGCTCATAGTGTGGTGGATCTACATTAATTAATTACTCTAATCTCCGTGAGCTCTATTGCTTTTAACCATGGAACTCTTAATGATACAATCTACCTAAAATTATATTCTGTTCCAACCCAGTATCACATTTTCCTGTTCCCTTGAGTGGAACCTGCAAGTTTATCGGAAGACTACCAAGATTTTACAGCTGTTAAACCCTTTCCCTCTCAGTATGTTCTGCAGTGTCTGTTCAGAAGAACGTGCTATATAGTTGCCTCTTCCTTTTTACTTTTTTGATGGATGTTTGCCATCTTTGTTTGCTGATTCCCCTACACCCAAATATTAGTGGTGATAGTACAGCTTGTGCTTGGCTGCCTTCTTCTTTGTTCACATGATATCCAGTGTAGTGATAACTTAGAAATGTTCTTTCAATATGCCACCTACCCCCCACACAAAATTATCATGCTAAGTTTCTAACTGTGTTTCCTTTAAGTACATCTCTAGTAAGCATTTTCTAAATGGAAACAATTCCATTAGCAGCTATCAGCTATTTGTTTCCTGCCCTTCAGCCTATTTTCATTCCAATGTGCCAATTTTCTCGGTGCCCATAGACATTAATCTCTAGTGTGAAACATTTTTTCCAAAAATATAGTATCTGTTCCTATTACCCACTGTGGCTTCATTGTTGCCATAGCAGCTCTGCTTTGCACGCGCGCGCACACGCCAACAGGTTGAATAGGTATTTTCTCTTCTTATTTATTGTAAAGAGGTTGGCTGTTAATTAAACTCTGCCTAAGTGTTCGCTGCTTGATTTTCTAAAATAGCTTTTAAGACTTTCTTGGTATGTAATTTTTCCTCTAGGTTTCTAAATGCTGTGGTTATTTTCAGAATTGACTAAAAGGTTTTGCCAATTCTTTTTTCAGCTATGTTAGAATTAATCTATTGATGCTTACTTCACTGGGTGTTAATGTTTAAAATTCACTGAGCAAAACAGTCAAAAACTTAGTTAATCAAATAGCAAATAAATGCCAGTATTTTATGTGTGATTTTAAATAGCATCCTTCTGACACTTTTGAAGAGTACATTGGTATATGTTGGATCCGACATTATATTTATTCTGAAGTCCTATAAACACAGAGCAGGTCTCTTGTGAATTCGAATACATTTTATATTTTTACTTCAAAACAATATAAACACACACAAATTACACTATGATAATAGCCAAATCTACTCTCCTTTACCCTGATCTAAATATAGAGCTCCATTGAAGTTGTTGGAGTTGTTCCAGACTTAAACTGAATAAATAACAAAGAACAGAATTTGTCTGGTGTGTAAACAATAAAATATTGACTAAAGAATAGGACTACTGTGTCTAATTTGAACTGTATTTTTTTATAAATGGCTAATAGTGAGGACTATTTATAATTATTTCTAACACTTAAGCTTAGACCACTTGTTCTCAAGTGTTTTTGCATTCCTCATTAGTTTTGAAAAACATTTTTCAGAGCTTAGATGTTGATGCACTTTGCAGCTTCCCAAGTATGTTTTCACTATAATGCCACACTAACATTTCACTCTCCATTTAAAAAACTGCATTGAGGCTTCTCAGACCTTAAAAAATGCAGTAGCAGTAAGAGCTTCTTATGCTGTAACTTCAGTCTTTGAAATTTTGGAGACATTTTTCCCAACCAAAAAATTGAAAGACTTTGTGTGTGAATGGTTTACTAGGTGGGCTCCTTTTTTATTGCAGCAATAAAATATTTGAGCAATATTGGTACAGTAATGTCTGATCCCATAGCTCTTAGTGCATGTAATAAATGTCATGGGGTAACATTAAAATAATGGATATTGCTGAAGAACAGAAAACAATGAGCAGTAGCTGGTGATTCAGTTTATTTTGAGTTTTTTCAGCCAGACCACTGGAAGATACTGTGCCAGGACATCAGACTTCCTTACCAATGCAGCCTATGTAATCTTCCTTCTAACCTGAGCAGTGGGAAGTTCAAAAGTGGCTCTAAAATCATATTCTTCTCATTACTGTTTATTTTTCTGTCAATGGGGATTGGTTTATCAAATACTCTGTATTGCTGTAGACTAGAGTTTTCCAGTTTGGCTTTTTAATAGAGTTCCTGTTTGTTTCTGTTGCCCTTTTTCAAATTTTGCTGACAGCGGTAGCATTCACTGATAGTAGCATTCTCCCTCCCATACTTTTCAATTGCTCTTAATTTTCTCAATTTAATGTGCCACAAGTTTGAGATAATATTATATTTGGAGGCTTTAACTTGGTGAAGTTGCACAACTGTGCTGTATTTTATTTTGGGAGAGTTTTCAAATATACACAATGTGCAATGTAGCCAAGTTAACATTGTGTTTAAAAAAAACTTTAAAATTTTGGAATTTCCTGACTTTTTTCTATGCTTGTTTTCCTTCATATTGCATTAATTAACTCTTGCACATAATATTGATTATGCTTGAGTGTTTTATAATCATCTGTAATAGATGGGCAACAAGTTTCTTGGAGAATTTTAATTATGTTCTGACCAGAGGCACTTATATGCACGTATCAGGGAAAGAGACTGCTACAACTCCTACTAGTTTCAATGGGTTTAGAGAAGGTTTAATTTCATTATCACTTTCTTCACTTCAAAAAAAGTTTCTTTTATATTAGGGAGCAAGATCTGAAGCAAAGGGCAAGTGTAAAGGGATAAAGAAGGATGGGAAAAGCAAAGAAGGGGGACAAAAAATGGGTGTAATGTGGGGCACTGAGAAAAAACTTACTGTGTGACAGCAAAAAATCAACGTGAAACTGATAATCAGTTGGCCTTAAGAACATTTGAGACAAATGGCAGATGAGGCCATCCAGATATCAGGAGCATTTGCAGGTGCACTTATACTCAAAAAGAAGTCTCTCTAAAAAGAAACCACTCACTTCTGTCCCTGTAGATTTAAAAGTGGACAGAGCCATCAAGCAAAGGCTCAGGAACTAAATCCTGGGCCTGAAGTTGAGAAATGAATTGAAGCTACACAATTCATGCATCTAAGATCATCTGAACACTTTTGCCTTCTCTACATATGTACATACATGGGCAGAAAATAATCTAGCATCCCCTTCCACAAAAGTCCGTGAATCCACAACCAGATTCTAAAAATA